AGCAACAACAGGAATAATTTAACAACTAAAAAGAAAAAAGTAAGGAAAATAAGGCAGGGAGAGGGGGAAAGAAAAGAAGAGAGTAAAGGAAAAAACTAAGAGAAAATAAAAGAGAACATAAAACAACAAAAGGAGAAACAGAAGAGAGGAAAAGGATAACAGAGAAAGAAAGAAAAGACAAAGGAAGAGGAATTTTAAAAAGGGGGGAAGTGAATACTGGGATGGTGGGGGCAGGGCTCAGAGAGGAGAAAACTGTGGGAAGCAGGGAACCGGGCTCAGTATGAGTTGCTGCCCTCTTCTACCACAGAGGTCACAGGGAGGAGAAGGTGAGAGGATCTGACACCCAGTCAGAGACAGAGTTCCTGCTGGTCCAAAAATGGTCTGGGGTCAGGGCATTCACTCTGGAAGGATTTCTTTTGGTACCCAAGGGAAGGTGGCAGCATGGCAGCTGGCTCTAGAGAAAGTTCCTGCTGCCCATGGGTGGCCTGTGGCAGGTGGCGCATCTCAACTTCTGCATTCTGCTAGTCTAATGAGCGGGAGGCGCTCATGAGCCTTTAGACCTGGAGGTGGTGTGCTCCTGGAGCCGGATCCATGAGGGAGTGCCTCTTGTGCAGGGTTGGGTGGGTAAGAGTGGGGCTGACCACGCCTCTGGTCATCAGAGGGCTGTGGGGAACAAGGGGAGAATTACACCCTTCTGGTCACCAGCCACGGTGTGTTACCTGGGATTCTGCTGTCCTGGGAGAGAACTGAATTAGCAGGTTGCTGTTTGGACTTAGTGCTGCTTGCAAACATTCAAAATGGCCACACTGTGTCAGGCTACCTGGCAATTTCTCCATTTTTCTGCCTCCTTTTGTTCAACCTCTTCTCCTAGTCTGTATTCAATCTACTTCTCTACTTTTCCTGGGAAGCTCAGGGTTTCACCTGTAGGACCTGTTTCACTTAACTTCTCATGTCTTTGCTGTAGAGGGCTGACAGACTAGTGTGTCTGACTAATCTGACAACTTGGATGAGGTTTAAAGGGCAATGGAAACGACAGAAAGTTCCCAGAGCTGAGGGGCTCATTCGAATATGTTTAACATTTTCAGAAGCGCATGGAATCTTTCTGGAATGTCGTATAGCTATGGAATCATACTTGTTTGAAAGAACTAAGAGGCAGAGAGAAAAATGAAATGATGCTTAGAAATGGAATGAAATCCTTTATAGTTTTCAAATTTGGTTTTTGGAAATAATGAGATTGGAATTCTCCTCCCCCTCAGTAGTGGGATGAAGTGATCACTAAGGTTCCTTTCAGCCATGAAAATTCTATTTTGATTTTTTAGGAGTCCTTGATATCTGTGGTCCTGTAGATGGGATATCTGTTATCTGTGATAGCTGTAGATGTCTGGCATCATCTTTTATTCCCCAAGGGGAGTCAAGATGATTATCTGAAATCCTGTGCAGGGCGTTCTCAGAAAATTGTTGTAAGGAAGTTATTTTCAATTTATCTTACTTCTCATGTTGAAACAATGTAGTCTACATTTTGAGAAATGTTCCTCAATGCCTGGTAAATCAAGCCCACTTGCCTTTAGATTTTGGAACAAACCCTGTCCTGACATTGTCCTGTCACTGGTCTGCAGTCCTAGCTCTCAGGATATATGCTTTTGAGCCCCATTACTGACAGTCTCAATGTGAGAAAGCTTGCCACTAACTTATGAATATTGTAAGCCCTGTTCTATATCGAAACCCTATATAAACACCTGTGTAATTATTGTACCATGGACTCTGATTTTCTTCAAGTTGTTATTTAAATCCTTAATAAACCTTTCTATTTTACCATGAAACAGCATTTAAGATTTTTTTGCTACATTATATAACATGTCCAATATTTTGACTAATTCCACTTGAGGAAGATATTATTATTAAATCAGTATGAATTTGAAAAGAAAAAAAATGTATATCCTAATTAAAGGACTAAGGTGGGCCTACCCCAAGCCATGGCATTTTCAATCACTTCATATACGTGTGATAAGGAAGACGAGAGAAAAATGGATGTCCCTGAACTGTGGCGTTGGTGAAAAATACTTACTATGCCATAGACTGTCAGAACAAACAAACCATCTTGGAAGAATTCAGCCAGAATGCCCCTTGAAAGCAAGGTTGGTGAGACTTCATCTCACATGCTTCAGGCATGTTGTCAGGAGAGATCAGTCAGGACCCCAGCCTTGGTAAAGTGGACGGTCAGAGAAAGAAAGGAAGCCCTTTGATGCGATGTACTGACAGTGGGTGCAAAACCGGGCTCATATAGAGGGAAGATTTTGAGGAGTATGCAGGATTAATATGTCTTTTATTCTGCTCTGCTGTATGGACTTGATGACACCGAACAACGACAGCAGTCAAAGTCAAGTGTAGAATGACAGGTTGAGGTTTTTGGGAAAATTCCTTTACTGGAAATAAAAAATGGCCCCAAAGTGGGGTAACAGCTTTATCTCAGAAATGGAAATGATAATAGAAATCAGGAATTTCCAAAGTGATTTCTTAATTTATGAGAAAGCACCCCCCAAAAACCCAGTTCACTGGGACAGCCTTGTTAGTTGCATAGTCTTTCCCCTGAGGCATATGGAGGATCAAACCCTACATCAGTGCAGGCGCTGCTCATCCCACTGAGGACAGAGAGCTCCTGCAAAGCACCTGAGGCTTCTCACATTCCTGGTGCTTTAGAGGCTCCTGAGGATAAGCTACGCGAGGTCCCCACAGCCTCCTGTGCGTGTAGAACTTATTGTTCTTTGTGTTCTAGATGGTGTAGCCAAGCTTTCCTCCACGTAGGCTTGTCTTGTGCTTAGGAACTAAATGGCCTGGCTTCCATGAAATCTGTTTTTGGAATGGCCAGCTGTAGGCTGTTAATGTTTGGTTTATTCAAGTAATGTGACCATCTGTGTTTAAAAAGACAAAGGAGTGACCCACATAGAAACATGAATATAAACTCTTGTAAGTACAACGATAGATTGAAGGAAAACTAAAAGGCACAATAAGTGTTTACAACAGAAATCTTTGTTCAAAACCACTAGTACTTCCGGGGAAGACAGGTGAGGCTATCTGTAAAGATGTACAATGTCAGAAACCCTACCCAGCGTCACTATGAATCAGAATCTATTTGACGGCAGGGTTCTATTTTAAAGCTTCATAAGGGGAAGTAATTTGTCTATCTTCTTACCTATTATTAAGCCCATCACCAGGAAGGGGCTAGAGTTGGGCCTCAGTAAACATTTACTGAATGAGTACATTGGTCGTCAGGTGAAGCAAGGTGAAAACAGTGTTGTGGATGGAGGAAACAGCATATAGAAAGGCCCCGAGGTTGACCAGAGGGTGGCAGATGTGAGTACCCGAGGAGTGTCCTGGGTAAGGCCAGAGAGTCAACATATTTAGAATTATTTTCATTTTCCTATCCAGTATCCCTTTTGAGGTGGTCAGTTAATTAGCATATGCCCCAGAAGATGTGGAGCAAGTGTGGGATCCCAGGCTGGTAGGGTTTCAGGGACTCAGGAGTCTGGGCTGGTGCATATTCTAGCCCCTAGCCCCTCAGGGCCTTACAGATACGAATGTTTTAGGAGAATTAAGCAATTCCAGAAAGATGAAGGTGATGTCACAGAAAGTGTAATATAAAAAGCTATTGACTTGAGTTTCCGCTTCTTTTTTTTTGTGTAGTTAAAAAAAATCCCCAAACAACGTACCTTTTATTTCTTCATTTGTAGAATGGGGATAAAAGATTCATTCTGTTAACCTCATAATTTGTTGTGAAGATTAACAAAATAATATACAGGTAAGAGCTTTGACAAACTTTTGCCTTGCAGACCTGGTTGGACTAGATGATGCACAGCAGTACAGACGGGAATTGGGAACGCAGGGAATCTAGGACAGAGGAACCTCTCAGGACCAGGGGTGACAGTGGCAATACCAGAAGGGAAAGGGGATGTAGTAAGGGGGAATGGATCACAGGGAGCTACGTGTGGCCTCCTCTCTGGGGGACGGGCAGCGGAGGGGTGGGTGAAGGGAGACGCCGGACAGTGTAATATAAGATACAATAATAATTTATAAATTATTAGGGGTGCATGGGGGAGAGGGGAGGAGGAAGGGAAGGGGAGGGGGAAAAAAAGGAAAATTAGAGGCTAGCGAATTTTGGGAATGATGAGGGCAACAAATGTATAGATGTGCTTTACACAATTGATCTATGTATTGTGATGAATTGTATGAGCCCCAATAAATTGATTAAAAAAAAAAAAAGAGCTTTGACAAACTAAAATGCCCAATTCAAATAAAAATAATTTAAGCCATAACAGTGGAGTGTTACTAGCAGGAAGAATCTGAAAAATAGTGGTGAGTATGAAACAAGAACACTTTGTGAAACCCTGGGGTTTGAACCCAAGCAGACTGTGCATTTCCTTTGGAAACTGTCCAAAATAGTCTAGAAATCTAATTTTCAATAGAATTTATTGATGTTTTAAATAGCTATTACCTAAAAATACAAGGAGAGACTCTGCTCATTCAAACATTAAGTACTCATGTTTTCCACCAGGTGACACAAATGATTACTCAGCTATGAAAAGGTTGGCGGTTCAAGTCTATTCAAATGCCTTAGATGAAAGGCCTGCTGGTCTATTTCTGAAAGACCACAGCCATCGAAAACTCCATGGAGTGCACTTCCATTCCAACACACAGAATCACAACTGACTTGATGGCGACTGTCTTGACTTCTGGTATATCGTCCATTTCCATAGCCACACATTCCCAAATGACTCTCAACTACTCTCTTTTGCCTCCAAATTCTATCAATGTGAATTCACAAAGAAGTGAGGGCCCTAATAAACATTAAACAAGTAAAATGAGATGTGAGAAAAAGAAATGAGTATCTACAATGAAACCATGACACGATATTTTCAAATGTTTTTCAAAGGTTGTTATTAGAAGTTCATGTGTATACGTATACAACTTTCACAGATGTGCAATGTGATAAATACAATACTTACAACTTTCAGACTGCAGTTGGCTATTTCAGTGCAAATAGCTTTAAGAGATGAAATAAAGTTAAATGTAAGGGGATCAGTTTCCTTCCAGAAGCTTATAAGAAGTCGAACTTTAACACTTCGCAAAACTAATGCTTCTCTTATTTTGCCATCCAAATCTGGCCAGTAAGTCCTGCAGAAATAACATTCAGGTAGATCAAAGCAAAGGAGAGAAGTTAGTTTGGGAAAGAAACAATCGGTTATTACTTCTGTGGAGTAGTCAGCCTTAGAAGAAGCCCTGGTGGCGGAGTGGGCTATGAGGGGTCAGCAGTTCTAAAGCACCAGCTGCACCATGGCTCTGCGTCGGTAAAGATTTACAGCCCTGGAAACCCACGATGGGAGATCTATTCTCCCTGTAGGCTCAATATTAGTGGGAATCAATTCGGTAGCAGTGAGTGAAAGCTTGGAAATATCACGGAACTGGCGTATGTGAATTGAGTGACTTCAGACCTCTGCTGAAACCTCCTTTTGAGTTAAATTAAGATTTTCTTTTTCTGAAGAAACCATTCAGCCTCTTTGTAAAAAGTGTTACTGCTTAGAAAACAGAAAAGACAAAGGTCAAAATGTCTAACCTAGATCAAGAATTGCTTTGGGCCTGTTTCGAACGTACAACTAGACTCACAGAAGTCTTGGTTATCAGGAGGATAAGTGTGAGAACTGACAACGTCAAATGAGGTTTGAACCTGTACATAACGTTGCATTAAGATGGGTATTATAATTAAGGCTTTAAATCAACTTGGCTAGACCATAATTCTCAATGGTTTGGCAGTTTTACTGTAGCCATCCCCCAAGATAGGATCTGATATAATACAATTAATTACTCACATGGTGTAGTCTGCGATAAGCAGTCCATCTATTGCACGGAAGTTTTCTCAATGATATGACCTGCTTTCAATATATGTGGACATTCTGGTAAATCTTACTGGTTTTTTTTTCTTGATCAAGATCCTGAATTTGGCTTGTCATCATCTGAACTCTAGTTCTTTGGACTTAGGCCAGCAAGCAGCTTGCTATATGGCCTTCCAATCCTGGAATTCATTAACTTCCGCAGCCTGTGAGTCAGCCACCTGCTCTCTTATCTGCTAACCTTGAATCCACAACCTCTACAGCCATCAGAATGCCATCGGACCTATCTAATTTGGGCTGGTCAGCCCCCTGCAGTTAGTGACTCAGGAGAAGCTTCCAGTTGACATCGACTTGAAATTTGCCAACCTCCACAACCTTATGAGCTATTTCCTTGAGATAAATCTCCATAGCGATGTGAGCTTCACTAGTTTTGCTTCTTCAGAAAGTTTTGTTTCTACAGAAAATTTCACTCACTACGATTCTCCATTATGTTTCTGCAAGTCTTTTGTAAATTTGTAATGAAGTGGAGGCTCAATTGTTGACATAAGGTGACAAGCTGATTTCAGAAAAATAGGCCCTGGTTATTACTTTTGTGGAATAGTAAACCTTAGAAGGAGCCCTGGTGGCAGAGTGGGTTGCAAAGTGACCTTTGCTAAACCTCTTTTAGGATGTGACAACCTTAGAATGGGACAAATACATTTATTGATAATGTTTAGGCTTGTAGTTCAATAAACTATTTGTAACTTTATTGTGCTTGCTTTCCATCCCCTATGTGCTGGTCAGCACAAATTCTTCCTTTAGTTCAACAAAAATCTTCACCGCACTCCCCACACCTGCTCCAATCTGCAGCACTGTACCCCCTGCACGTGCACCTAGATGTAATGTCTTCCCATTTTGAAAAGACTCTCTTTCTTCATTAAAATTTTTGTTTTAATTTTTCATGGAACATTAGTCTTGTGCAATGTTTTTCAAAGTGGGTAACACTGCCTCCCCACCCCACCACCGAGGGCTGTAGTACGATGCAGAGGGACTTAAAAAACTCGTACTTACACTTCACATTGGGTTGTAGTAAAACATTTTTTTATTGCCAGTGGCATGCTGTATAATTTTTTCCCCCCCGAAAAAGGTGCAGTAGCCCAAAGCTAAATTTGGGAACTGGTGGTCTAGTGTTTTCACTAAGACACTTTGCTGTATCATATAGAAATACACTTGTAGGAGATCTGGAAAAATCCCTCCTGGGTCCAAGCACTGAAAGACTGGTGTTTTGAGACACAACCCTCTTAAAGGAGGGCTACCATCACCAGTGCCTTTGCCTGGTGAGCCTAGGGCACGTGCAGACCATGTGCCACCTTCATCACACCTCCAACCTGGGCCTCAGTTTCTAGAAGCACTAATAATCAACTTTCCAACAGAATTCCAGTTACATCTACCATGCTCCAAGAGCTACACAGATCTTTTTTCCTGTGACTGCTTCAAAGTAAGCATATTCTCTAATTACCTGAGTTCTCCTATGCTCTTAGCTTCAGACCATCTTTCACGTCCTTTCTCCTGATCAAGCCTCTCACTGTGCCCTCTCTACCTTCTACCTTTTCTGCTGGGAAACTGGGATCCTCTCCCATAAATTAATTTCCTTCCATGAATCTTCCCGTAACCTTTTGTTTCAGCTAAATCCTGGTTCTTCCCTAAGGTCATAATTTCCCAAGCCTTTCCATGTGTTTTCTACCACAATCTACCCACGTGGTTTGGGGTGTGATATCAGCTTTTAGCCATGCCCACACAATGTCATTCCAGAATTCTCACTTAAGTCTCATGTTAAAAAAATTAAAAGCTAGGTTTATCACCATAAAAAACCCCCAAAACAACCCTCTCCACAAATAATCATAGCTTATGTATCTCAGGCCCAATGTTTAAATCTCTCTCAATCACTTTTTAACACTATTACTTTTAGAATTCCTGTTTACTTCCTCACATTCCTAAACATTTTGGCCATTGGTAGCCAACATTTCTCTCTACCCCAATATAGCACCAATTTTGGGAAAATTCACTGTTTGACTAATGGTCTATTATTAATAACCTTAGCCTGTCAGTCACATAATCATTGCACCTCCAAACAGGTCCTTTCTTCTTCCTTTTTTTGACATTTTAATGAAAACAATTAAAAACAGTTTTATTGGCACTTCATCCACATGTCATACAGTTCAATAATTCAATCATATCAAGAAGACCACCACAGTCAATTCTAAAATATTCTTCTTCTTCCTTGTACTCATTGTTATTAATTTATTTTTTAATTGTGGCAAAAATATACACAACAAAGCATTCTCCAATTCAACAACTTTTACATGTATAATTTAATGCCATTGATATACTCTTTGTGTTTTACCATCATTATCGATATCCTTTTCCAAATCGTTCCACCACCACTAATATAAACTCGATGCTGCCTAACCAACAACTCTTCCTCCTTCACCCATGATAACCACTGGTCACGTTTGGTTTCTTGATTTTTTTAGTAGTTTTCTTGATATAGTATTCCTATATCATATAGTTACAGAGTTAAATTGCTTTTCAAAAGAGTTGTATATACATCATCACAATCAGCTCTAATGCTTTTTCTCCCCCTGCACTCATTGTCCCCAATTCCCCTCCTCTTCCCCTCCCCTGTCCTCAATAAACCATTGCATCAGTTATTGTCTTTATGCATCCACTCCTTCTGTGCTTCACAAACTGGGAGACCCAGCAGAAGCAATAAAAGACAAAAATAAAATGAAACAGCAAGAGGAAAATGATGATAATAATATAAACATAAAAATAAAAATAAAGAGTAAGAATGAAAAGACCACCATCAACATTTAAAAAGTCAGAGAAGAAATGTCTATTGCGGAACAACAAGAAATATTTAAGCCTAGAGCAAATTCAGGTTGGGTTAAGAAGGAGGTCAACTGACCAAGCATCATATAATACCATGGTTTGATCCACCATAATCTCTGTCTGATAGTAAAGCTGGTCGAATCTTTCACCTACAGGTAGAGGGGATCTGCCAGAGGCTTAATCTGACCAAATAATTTGCCGATGGATTTTGGGCTCCCAGTTCTCCATAGTCTTCTACAAATTGGGTGTTTACAATTTAAGCTCTGATATTTTTCCCTTCATCATATTTGGATTTTATTATTGTCACCTTTGGATCACCCAGTCTGATGTGCTTCTTGCATGTGGACTTAGTTGCCTCCTCATTTAGATGGCTACTTGTTTGAATACAAGCCCTTAAGACCCCAGACACTGTTCCAATCAATTAGCCAGGCACCATCTACTTTCGTCATCACACTTTGATGGAGCATCCTTATCTTCAGTGATCCCTACATAAAGGCGAGTCTCTAGCCAGGCCCATGTTATAAAAGCTAACCGTTCTTGGACTGGGGCTAGAATTAAGTGGGAGTCCAAGATCCATATGCTTTCTTACTTGTTATGAACAACTCTGGTTTACTTTGTCTGTCATACTATGAAAAAAACCAGGACCAACAAGAACAACAGCAATAAAACAACCACAACGAAAACCCCAAACACACCAAAAAACCCAAACAAACAAAAGGCAGAGCAATAAAAATTCATAGAAACAAAATCTGACCAAATGAACAACAACCCCCAAAACATTGTCAATCATCCTCTGGGGTATAAGGTGATTGCATTGATACCATTAATCCCGCCCCCCCCCCCCAAAGACATCAAATTTAAGATACTGATGAAATGAGGAAACTCACATAAACATGTGAGTATAGTCAAACTGTGAGCTTTAATTCATGAGTTGTTGCTTTGTACAGATTTATTATTAATTGATCAAGCTCTGTTTACAATGAGCATGGAGGTTGGTGCTAGGGGAAAATTCCCTGTGTCATTTCTTACAGGTGCAGATCCTTGCCTATCAGATTAAAACCTGTCATATTAATGCAAGGGAGCATTGAGGTACTAAATACATGGTTGTTTTATGTTCCCTTCCATTGGACATCCACTAAGCCAAGAGTCCCACTCAAGGCCCAATGACTGCCATTTCCACAGTGTTGGGGTGGCCATCCTTGCTTCCTCTCCCATTAGACTATTTAAGTCATAAGTCCAAGGGTACAGGTAGTTTTGAGGTAGGGCCCAGTTCATTCAGTTGGGCTTCTACATTGAGTCCTTTTAGTGTGGCCCTTGGGTGATCCTATGTTGCCTGTAAGGCCAGCATCTAAGGTTATCATAGTGCTTAGTCCATAGTGTGGTTCACTAATGGTTTCATAGAAATATATATTCATA